GTGTATTTTAAACACTAAAGCAGTCACTAAAATAACAAAACAGGGTTACAGTTAGGAGGAAAACAAAGAAGAAATAAGGGGCCAGCGAGGTGGCTCAAGCCTGTAATCCCAGCACTTTGGGAGGCCGAGGCAGGTGATTCACTAGGAGTTTGAGAACAGCCTGAACAACATGGTAAAAACTAAAAATACAAAAATTAGCCGGGCGTGGTGCTGCGCACTGGTAATCCCAGCTACTGAGGAGGCTGAGACAGGAGAATCGTTTGAACCCGGGAGGTGAAGGTTGTGGTGAGCCGAGAATGCGCCATTGCACTCCAGCCTGGGCAACAGAGAGACACTCCATCTCAAAAAAAAAAAAATAATAATGATGCAAGAGAGAACAAAAAACAGACAGGACAATTAGAAATGGAACAGCAAGGCCGGGCGCGGTGGCTCAAGTCTGTAATCCCAGCACTTTGGGAGGCCAAGGCGGGTGGATCATGAGGTCGAGAGATCGAGACCATCCTGGTCAACATGGTGAAACCCCGTCTCTACTAAAAATACAAAAAATTAGCTGGACATGGTGGCACATGCCTGTACTCCCAGCTACTCAGGAGGCTGAGGCAGGAGAATTGCCTGAACCCAGGAGGCGGAGGTTGCGGTGAGCCGAGATCGCGCCATTGCACTCCAGCCTGGGTAACAAGAGCGAAACTCCGTCTCAAAAAAAAAAAAAAAGAAATGGAACAGCAAGATGACAGACTCAAACAAAACCACAACAATAATCACATTAAATGTATATGATCTAAATACCCAAATTAAGAGAGACTGATTATGAGACTGGGTATAAAAACCAAGCTCCAACCATATGCCGCCAACAAGAAATGCACTTTAAATATAAAGATACAAATACATTTGACCCTTCAACAGATGGATTTAAACTCCATGGGTCTACTTACATATGGATTTCTCTCAATAAATATATTGGAAAATTTTTTGGAGATTTGCAACAATGTGAAAAAGCTTGCAGATGAACAGCATAGCCTAAAAATATTTTTTAAATTAAGAAAAAGGTATGCCGCAGATGCATAAAATATATGTAGATATTAGTATATGTTATAATTTACAACCATAAATACACACAAATCTTTAACAAAAAGTTAAAATTTATTAAAACTGGGCCGGGCACAGTGGCTCACGCCTGTAATCTCAGCACTTTGGGAGGCCGAGGTGGGTGGATCACGAGGTCGAGAGATCGAGACCATCCTGGTCAACATGATGAAACCTAGTCTCTACTAAAAATACAAAAAATTAGCTGGGCATGGCGGCGCGTGCCTGTAATCCCAGCTACTCAGGAGGCTGAGGCAGGAGAATTGCCTGAACCCAAGAGGCGGAGGTTGCGGTGAGCCGAGATCACACCACTGCACTCCAGCCTGGGTAACAAGAGTGAAACTCCGTCTCAAAAAATAAATAAATAAATAAATAATTAAAACTTACACAAATGTAGACTGTACAGGGCATGATTTGTAGAGAGAAATGTAAACAAACGTAAAAGTGCAGTATTTTTTTTTTGAGACGGAGTTTCGCTCTAGTTACCCAGGCTGGAGTGCAATGGCACGATCTCGGCTCACCGCAACCTCCGCCTCCTGGGTTCAGGCAATTCTCCTGCCTCAGCCTCCTGAGTAGCTGGGATTACAGGCACGCGCCACCACGCCCAGCTAGTTTTTTTGTATTTTTAGTAGAGACGGGGTTTCACCATGTTGACCAGGATGGTCTCGACCTAGTGATCCACCCACCTCGGCCTCCCAAAGTGCTGGGATTACAGGCTTGAGCCACCGCGCCCGGCCCAAAAGTACAGTATTAAATCATAACTGCATAAAAGTAGTTATATATAGTATGTACAACAATTTCATAGCTACTATAGTAAGCTCAAGTGTTGCAAGCATGCACATAAAACACCCTGTGATGCTAATCATTTCATGAGCAGTTCATCTCTCAGTAAACTGTGTGTCACAGTAAAAAGCAATCTCGTGTTCTCACCTTATTTTTCATCAGGTTTAGTGCAATACTGTAAACCTTAATTAACACCATGGGATGGGACCCTATGAAATACTTACTAGTGAGGCTAGAAGTACTCCCAAGAAGCAGAGAAAAGTCACAACATTAGACGTAAAAGTTTAATTTCTTAGTATGTACTATAGATTGAGGTCTGCAGCTGCAGCTGCCTGCCATTTCAAGACAAATCCAGCACAAAGACAACTTACAAAATTTTTCTTATGAAAAAAATAAGCAAATTGTGAAGCTGTTGCTACAGCTATGCCACAAGTGAGAAAATCTTGCACATTTTGTGAAATACAAAATACGTGCTATTCAATATTTACATTATCAATAAGCCTTCCAGTCAACAGTAAGCTATCAGTTATGTTTTTGGGGAGGCAAAATTTATATTTGGATTTTTTTTTTCAGACAGAGTCAAGTTCTTATTGCCCAGACTGGAATGCAGTGGTGCGATCTCGGCTCACTGCAACCTTTACCTCCTGGGTTCAAGCAATTCTCTTGCTTTAGCCTCCCAAGTCAGCTGAGATTACAGGCACCTGCCACCATGCCTGGCCATTTTGTATTTTTAGTAGAGGTGGGCTATTACCATGTTGGCTAGGCTGGTCTGTAACTCCTGACCTCAAGTGATCCACGTGCCTCAGCCTCCCAAAGTGCTGGGATTACAGGCATGAGCTACCGCGCCTGGCCCATACTTGGATTTTTGACTACATAAAGAGTTGGTGTCCCTAATCTCCATGTTCTTCAAGGGTTAACTGTGGTTTAAAAGTAAAAGGATGAAAAATATATGCTAATACTAATCAAAAGAAAGCTCTAATGGTTATAGCAATATCAAAATAGATGTGAAAGCAAAGAATATTAATAGAGATTTTAAAAGCTTGATAAAATTGATATGCCTCTAACCAGGCTAATCAGAAAAAAAAAAAAAAAAAAAAAGGCCACAAATTATCAATAGCAGGAATGAGACAACAACATTACAGATGCTACAGATACTAAAATAAGGGGATACCTATAACTTTACGGCAGTAAGTTTAAAAACTTAAATAAAACGAATCAATTCTTGAAACTCAGACTACCAAAGTTCACTCAAGTAAAAACAGATAAGCTACAACTGTGTATCTATTCAAGAAATTAAGCCAGGTGCAGTGACATGCACCTGTAGTCTCAGCCACTCAGAGTCTGAGGCAGGAAGACTGCTTGAGGCCAGGAATTCAAGGCTGTAGTGCACCATGACTGCACTTGTGAATAGCCACTGCACTCCAATCAGGACAACATAACAAGATGCCATCTCTAAACAAATAAATAATTTTGTTGTTGCTGTTGTTATTTGAGACAAAGTCTCACTCTCTCACCCAGGCTGGAGTGGCATGGTATGATCTCGCTCACTGCAACCTCTGCCTTCTGGGGTCAAGTGATTCTATTGCCTCAGCCTCCCGAAGAGCTGGGATTGCAGGCACCCAGCACCATACCCAGATAATTTTTGTATTTTTAGTAGAGATAGGGTTTCACTATGTTGGCCAGGTTGGTCTCGAACTCCTCATCTCAAGTGATCTGCCCACCTCGGCCTCCCAAGGTGCTGGGATTACAGGTAGGAGTCACTGCGCTTGGCCAATAAATAATTTTAAAATGAAAAAAATGGTAATAATAATTTTCTGGGCATGATGGTACATGATTATAACCCCACCTACTTGGAAGGCTGAGGCGAGAGGACTGCTTGAGCCCAGGAGTTCAAAACTAGCTGGGCAACACAGTGAAACACCCATCTCAAGATAAAATTAAACAAAATAAAATTCAAAATAAATTGAAATTATAGATAAAAATTCTACCTCCCTAAGAAAAAAAACAAAACTTTGAAAGGGCACACAGAGATGAATTCACTAGTGAATTATCCACATTTAAGAAAGAAATAATTGTAACTGCATGGATAACTGTATAATTTTACTTTTAGAAAAGATAAAGGGAGGGAATATCCCCCGCTCCGCCCAACTCACTGAACAAGGTCAACCTTACCCTGATACCAAAACCAAAGACATTAGAAGAAAAGGAAACTACAGAATAATATCTCTTTTGAGTGGTGAGGCAAAAATTCTAAACAAAGTTAGAGCAAATTGAATCCAACAACATATTAAAAGGATAATACATCTATAGTACCGTATACCGTATTAACATATTAATATAAGACTGTTTTTTGGAGACAGAGTCTCGCTCTGTTGCCCAAGCTGAAGTGTAGTGGCGTGATCTTGGCCCAATGCAACCTCCATCTCCTGGGTTCAAGTGATTCTCCTGTTTTAGCCTCCTGAGTAGCTGGGATTACAGGCACCCCCCACCATGCCAAGTTAATTTTTTGTATTTTTAGTAGAGATGACATTTCACCATGTTGGCCAGGCTGGTCTCGAACTCCTGACCTAGAGTGATCCACCCACCTCAGCCTCCCAAAGTGCTGGGATTACAGGCATGAGCCACTGCACCGGCCAATGTAAGACATCTGCATTAGAATGTATCTATATTCCTAGAAATGCTGGGTTTAACATTCAAAAATTAATCAATGTACTTCAGCATCACAAACTAAAACAAACAAAAAAACCGCATAGGTCATCTCAAAAGATGCAGAAAAAAAATCAACAAAACCCAATACCCATTCCTGATAAAACTCAACAAACAAGAAAGAGAAGAGAACTTTCTCCACCGAATTCAGAGCATCTATTAAAACCTATAGCTAACATAATACTTAGTGCTAAGGGGAACAAACTGCTGATACACGTAACAACACGGGTGAACCTCAATAATTATGCCGAGTGAAAAAAACTAGACAAAAAACAGTATATGCTCAATGCTTTCATTTACATAAAACTCTAGAAAATGCAAGCTAACACATAGGAAAAGGAAGTGGACTGTGGCTGCTCGGGGATGAAGGGAAACAAGGAGGGAGAGGAGGTATAAGAAAGGGTCACAGGGAACTTTTGGGATCTTACCTTAAAGAAGGAATGAATAGCAGCTGTCGCTTCACTGCGAATCCTCAGTATAGATCCCAGAATGTTAGTTCTACACCTCAAGTGAGGATATTGTCTCAGGTACTCCAGAGGATGCCTTTCTTTGTATCTGATGGGGAAAGTCTGCCAATAAATGAAAAGAACAAATTAGAAGCCAAATGAAATACTGTTTAGTAAAATCCATTTCCAGGGTATTTCTTAAATAGTGCTTTAGAACCAAACTAAGATGCTTTCCTTCTTTATTTCTTAATATAACTGATTTTAATCCACGTTATTTCCACCAGATAAGTGGAATGGCAGGATGGAATCAGAGAGACGGAGGTTTGAATCTAGCTCTACTACTTATTAGCCAAGTAACTGAGCTAATAACACTGAAGCTCGTCTGTTATTTATCGAGTTTGTATCCAATCACTTCCTACAAATAGGTTAGGATTAATTATGCAAAATATCCACTGGCACACAGGAGTTCAAAATATCGTAGATATTAAAGATGTACACACAAGGCTGGTGTTCAATTTTAAAATCACCTATATGTCTTGAAAGCCCACGATCATCCATGTCTTGAAAGCCCATGATCATTTATAATCAATTGGTGCAATTTATTACTATTATCAACATGCTACTGGTGTCTAAGAACATGAGGGAGGGTAAGCAGCTTCCTTCCTGCAAGCAGAGTAGTGATGATTTACACAAAATTTGAAAGAAAATTATGGCTCCACCTTGAAATATGTCTACCTTGCTGATATTCATGTTACAAGATTAAGACAGACACATCCTTTCAGACAAAAATCAAAGTTTTATTAAAAAGATAACAGAGAAGCTAAAAAAAAGAGCTACATTGGCAGCCTGTTTCTTTCAGTTTCATCTATTTTTTGTAAGTCTTGTACATATACAAACTTTTACATTGTACAAGCACCATACTTATTACAACTGAAAATGTGGCTGGTGTGTCGGTGACCTGGCCTGTGAGGAGCAGTGAGCAGAATGAATACCTTCCAAGACCAGAGTGGCAGCTCCAGTAATAGAGAACACCTTTTGAGGTGTAGTGATGCACAGAGGGACTTGGAGCTTGCTATTGGGGGAGTTCTCTGGGCTGAGCAGCAAATTAAAGATAACTTGAGAGAGGTCAAAGCTCAGATTCACAGTTGCATAAGCCGTCACCTGGAATGTCTTAGAAGCCGTTAGGTGTGGCTATATGAACAGGTGGACCTCATCTATCAGCTTAAAGAGGAGACACTTCAGCAGCAAGCTCAGCAGCTGTACTGGTTATTGGGCCAGTTCAACTGTCTTACTCATCAATTGGAGTGTACCCAAAACAAAGATCTAGCCAATCAAGTCTCTGTGTGCCTGGAGAGACTGGGCAGTTTCACCCTTAAGCCTGAAAATTCAACTGTCCTGCTCTTTGAAGCCGACACAACTGCTCTGCACCAGACTATCACCACCTTTGGGTCGCTCGAAACCATTCAAATTCCTGAGCACTTGATGGCTCATGCTAGTTCATCAAATATAGGGCCCTTCCTGGAGAAGAGAGGCTATATCCCAATGCCAGAGCAGGAGCCAGCATCCAGTATTGCAACTGTCCCTCTCAGCGAATGGCACCTTGGAAGCAAACCTGCCAGTGGTCATCAGGTTCCTTACATACCCAGCACCAACACCCAGGACTGGCTCACCCAAAAGCAGACTTTGGAGAATAGTCAGACTTCTTCCAGAGCCTGCAATTTCTTCAGTAATGTCTGGGGAAACCTAAAGGACTTAGAAAACTGGCTCCTCGAGAGTCAGCAACAGGAAGTTCCTGAAAAACCAAGTTATCAAAAGTATAACAGCCATTCCACTACTAGTTCTTTCTCCACTGCAATGGAAAAGGTTGAAGATCTAGAGCTTCCTGATCAAGATAAGATGGACTTATCAGATTGGCTGGTGACTCCCCAGGAATCCCATAAGCTGGAGAAGCCTGAGAATGGCAGTCATGAAACCAGTGAGAAGTTTAAGATCTTGTTCCAGTCCTACCATGTGAATGACTGGCTTGTCAAGACTGACTCCTATACCAACTGTCAGGGAAACCAGCCCAAAGGTGTGGAGATTGAAAACCTGGGCATTCTGAAGTGCCTGAATGACCACTTGGAGGCCAAGAAACCATTGTCCACCCCCAGGGTGGTTACAGAGGATTGGCTTGTCCAGAACCGTCAGGACCCATGTAAGGTAGAGGAGGTGTGCAGAGCCAATGAGCCCTGCACAAGCTTTTCAGAGTGCGTGTGTGATGAGAATTGTGAGAAGGCGGCTCTGTATAAATGGTTTCTGAAGAAAGAAGAAAAGGATAAAAATGGGATGCCCATGGAACCCAAACCTGAGCCTGAGAAGCATAAAGATTCCCTGAATACGTGGCTCTGTCCTTCTAGAAAAGAAGTAATAGAACAACCTAAAGCACCAAACGCAATGGTTCCTTCTAGAATTGCTGATTCCTTCCAAGTCATAAAGAACACGAGTGGCTTATCAGGCCCCTATACCAAGAAGGAAGTCCCAAGTACTGAAGACAGAGCTGGCAAACAAAAGCTTAAAAGCCCCATGAGCACTTTCTGGTGTCTCTTTAATACAGCAGACTGGGTCCTGCCAGGAAAGAAGATGGGCGACCTCAGCCAGTTATCCTCTGGACAAGACAAGTGGCAGCTTCGAAAGAAGGCCCAGAGGAAGTATTACTTCATTCACCTCTACAGGAGGAACATAAGTTCCCCCCAGACCATTACAGCCTCCCTGCAGTTTGTGATCTTTTTGCCTGTATGCAGCTTAAAGTTGATAAAGAGAAGTGGTTATATTGAACTCCTCTACGGATGTGGAGACAAGAGCTGAGCTGCCTTTCTGCCAACTATCACACATCATGAGCTGAGTGTCTGCAGCTTGCCAAATGATTGCTTCTGGGTCTGACCAGTTAGCTTAGTTCTTCTCTCACCTAATTTTGAACTAGTAAAGCAAAGCCAGTCATCAGATTTATGAGTTACTGTTTAAAAGAAAAATGCTGTTTATTGATGCTGAGGTGATGCAGTTCCTTCCTTCTTACAGAAGTGTTAATTTACTCCCACACTAGAAATGCAGCATCTTTGTGGATACATCTTTTTCACAAGCCTCCAAGGCTCCTTAGATTGGGTCGTTACTAAAAGTACATGAAAACACTCACTCTAGTTTTAAAAATGAAATATTTCTGTAATCGAGGTGTATTGATATAAAGATAGTAAACTTCCCTAATGTTTAATTGCCCTATAGATGCTTCTCTTGCTGTGGGTTTTCTTGTTAGTGGTCTGAAATAATGATTTTCCTGTTCTGTTAATATACATTGTATTTTGCACAAAAAATTAACCTGGCTAATAGTGATTACCAAAATATGTATTAATAATCTTGGCAATTTTTGATATTACCAAACATTTTAGCGTACATGTTCTACATTACTATTCACTTGAAACTCAGCTACTGCAAATTTTTTTCTTTCTGTAAATGTTACTAAAATATCCTGTGAGCTCTTTTAGAAGGGTTTGGTATTATTTCAAGACTATTTTTGAGGCAGTTCTAGCCTTTTAAAATATTTTATAGACCTACAGGGTTTAAAAGAACCCCAGTACCAACTAAGCAAATAGGCAAAGACATGTTGGAAATGTAGTCTAGTACTTGAACTATTCACTATATTGGAGCATCCTGTGTAAATGGAATTATTGGTGCATCCTGTGTAAATGGAAGCTGAGCTTGACACCTGGTGCTTTTAACTAGGGATTCAGTCGTCCTTCTCCTGTAAGCACAGCACACCTGTACCTCCAAAAGTGACGTTTTAGTCAATAGGCTGTTTTCAACACTTGTGCGTTGGGGTGTTCACTGAAGCGTTATGAAAACTACGGATGTTTTCTCAATCTCCTTAAAGTTATGTTCACGCTTTAAAATGTCTCTGTAGGAGAGAAGTGGGGTTTATAATGTTTTTAAATTCTCTAAAGATATCTTTGCTGCTTTCCAGACTTTGAAACTATTAAGCTTCTTAACGGCCTGTTACTGGAAATACTTCTAGGGAAATTTCATGGTCCCACAATGTCATTGCCATACAGCTTCACTAGAGTTCTCTGAACCACAGCTGGAAAGAGCTTTGTATTATTTTTTAATTCCCTTCCCCAGATATCACTTAGAACTATTATAATAAAGTGGTGGGCAAAAACAACGTAAGGAGGCTTTCAGTTATCTTAAGTTGCAGCTAACTCTGTAGTTTCTTTTTTGAGGTCAAATACACTGTATTTTACATTGTCAAAATATAATTTAATCACTACGTTAATGAGTATGTAAAATTTTTTTGCATTGATGAATTTTGTATCTGCCTCCATTAAAAGCATAACAGCCATAAAAAAAAAAAAAGGAAAAGTGAAAATGTAAACATACCATAATTCTAGGGGTCAGAATTCCCTGTGTCAGAATATTTTAAAATGATACTGAACCTAAGAAGAAGGGAAGATGAAGACATCAACGCCAAGAGAAGCTAAGGAAGAACAATTGAAGAATACAATACTCCCCAGCTTATTCACAGGGGGTATATTTCAAGACCGCCAGTGGATGCTTCCTTTATTTCCTTACATTTTTTTCCTATCATACTGAAAGAATTAACAATGAGTTAAAGTGATGCAATTTCCCTGTATTTCCTCATTTTTGTTCATTAAATGTTTGAAGACAGGTATAGCAAAAACACAGAGGAATCAAATGGTTAGAATATAAATTTCAGTTGTGTCACATCAGCTCAGGCAAGTCATTTCATCTGGCTGGGCCTCATTTTCTCCACTATAAAGAATTTTATTAATAATATTTTATTCCCTCTAACTTCTTTTTTTTTTTTTTTTTTTTTGAGATGGAGTTTCGCTCGTTACCCAGGCTGGAGTGCAATGGCACAATCTCGGCTCACCGCAACCTCCGCCTCCTGGGTTCAAGCAATTCTCCTGCCTCAGTCTCCTGAGTAGCTGGGATTACAGGCACGCGCCACCATGCCTAGATAATTTTTTGTATTTTTAGTAGAGACGGGGTTTCACCATGTTGACCAGGATGGTCTTGATCTCTCGACCTTGTGATCCACCCGCCTCGGCCTCCCAAAGTGCTGTGATTACAGGCTTGAGCCACCGTGCCCGGCCTCCCTCTAACTTCTTTATCAAACTTGTAAGTACGAAGCTAACAGAAGAGTCTTGCAAAAACAAGACATACACATGTCTTATCTTAGAATTTCTTGCCTCTGTTCAGCCTAAGCATTACAATACTATAGATCAGCATCACCCAACAGAACTTTCTGTGATAAATGGAAATGTTCTGTATCTGTGCTATCCACTGCAGTAGCCAGTAGCCAGTAGCCACATGCAACTACTGAGCACTTGAAACGTGGATAATGCCACTTAGGAACTGGATTTTTTACTGAACTTTAATTGATTTAATGCCAAACAGCCAAAGGTAGCTAGTGCCTACCATTACTGGATAATCGGTTCTAGATCATGCAAAGGTCATTCCTGGCTTTCCTAAGAATGAGCCTGCCTTGGTATATCACTGTGGCTGACAGGGCATGCTCATAAAAGCCACAAGTTTTAATTGTGACACACACCACAGAGATGCAAAAATTAACACTTAGCTCTCATTAAGCTATTTACATAAAAAATTTTTGCTACTGCCTCTACAGGTCTTATGGCTTGTTGAAATATATTCTAAGTTTCACCTTCCTAATAATCACACTTAAAACAAATTGCTCTCTTAAATTAAGCCTAAACAGCCTCCACAAAAGTGTGAGAAATCATACCTTGGCATCACAATTTCCAATAACTTTAATGTTTTCTGCCTTCAGTTCCACATTTTGCCCTTTGGATGGACTTTTTACCAGCTGCCCTTGGACTTCCACAGAACTCCCAAAAGTTAATTCTCTATAGTAACAACAAAAAAAGATAAAACAAAATATCATTATATAAAACCTTCATTTTAATATAAACTTTGTAATAAGAATATTAAAATACTTAAGGACAAATGGTTTTACCCTTGAGTTAAATAATCTTCCAAATCTATGGATATTCTGTTGCATAAAGTATAAAATTATAAAAATGAATTACATAAGCTTTAAAATGCAAACAAACAGCTAAGAATTTGTATAATTAATTCAGAATTAAGAGGCCGTACAGGCCGGGCGTGGTGGCTCAAGTCTGTAATCCCAGCACTTTGGGAGGCCGAGGCGGGAGGATCACAAGGTCAAGAGATCGAGACCATCCTGGTCAACATGGTGAAACCCTGTCTCTACTAAAAATACAAAAAAATCAACTGGGCATTGTGGTGCGTGCCTGTAATCCCAGCTACTGAGCAGGCTGAGGCAGGAGAATTGCCTGAACCCAGGAGGCGGAGGTTGCGGTGAGCCGAGATCACGCCATTTGCACTCCGGCCTGGGTAATAAGAGAGAAACTCCGTCTCAAAAAAAAAAAAAAAAAAAAAAATACAAAAAATTAGCTGGACATGGTGGCGCATGCCTGTAATCCCAGCTACTCAGGAGGCTGAGGCAGGAGAATTGCTTGAACCCAGGAGGCAGGAGGTTGCAGTGAGCCGAGATCGCGCCATTGCACTCCAGCCTGGGTAACAAGAACGAAACTCGGTCTCAAAAAAAAAAAAAAAAAAAAAAAAGGGGGCCGTACAATTGTTCTTATTAAAAAATTAGTTGACAAAAAAACTTTTTAAAAGATTACAGAATACATGCAAAAACTGCAAAATCAAAATAAAATCAGCTGGGAATTCTCAGGTGACTGGTGATCTGAATACATATAGTGCTACTTTCTGGTTAATAAGACTAAATTCGAGTTTAAGTTCACCCACAAATTAACTGTATGACAACTATGGAAAGTCATCTAAGTTCATTTGTTTTAAGAATCATCTATTAAAAAGGAGCTAGTGCCGGGCGCGGTGGCTCAAGCCAGCACTTTGAGAGGCCGAGGCAGACGGATCACAAGGTCAAGAGATCAAGACCATCCTGGTCAACATGGTGAAACCCCGTCTCTACTAAAAATACAAAAAATTAGCTGGGCATGGTGGCACGTGCCTGTAATCCCAGCTACTCGGGAGGCTGAGGCAGGAGAATTGCCTGAACCCAGGAGGCAGAGGTTGCGGTGAGCCTAGATCACGCCATTGCACTCCAGCCTGGGTAACAAGAGCGAAACTCCGTCTCAAAAAAAAAAAAGGAGCTAGTAAATGACAGTACATCTGTTCTAATTCTTTTTTCTTTCCTTTAAAGAGACCAGGTCTCACTATGTTGCCCAGGCTGGTCTCGAACACCTGGACTCAAAGCAATCCTCCTGCCTTGGCCTCCCCAAGTGCTGAGATTACAGGCATGAGCCACCACACCCAGACCATCTGTTCTAGTTCTAACATTTCATAATTATAATAAGTAGGACAGTAAGTGCCTTCCTAATAAACTATTGAAATATTATAATATAGAAATAAAATAAATTTTATTAAAGTAAATAAGTCAGGAGATTCTCTACTCAGTTTTGTTTGCTTGCCAAATATATGGTATTATTATATAATTTATATAAATAAGACTGCCCACTATTGCATTATGGGTGGGGAAATCTGGTATACTTTCACCAACCTGAGAGGGTAATTTGAGATGCTGACTTAAAATATGTACTACCTGACATATATGAATGTAAATATTATCCTAAGGGTTCCTGGGAATAGCGCAAAGAGACAGTCATCCTCCAGAAACTCTAAAATCTAGCTACCATTATACCCATGTGACTGCTATACTGATACAAATAATCAAAATAACTACAAAGTTTTTTTAAAAGGTTATCATTAATATTAGGGCCAGGTGTGGTGGCTCATGCCTGCACTTTGAGAGGCCAAGGAGGGCAGATCACTTGAGGTCAGGAGTTCGAGACCAGCCTGGCCAACATGATGAAACCGTGCTCTACTAAAAATACAAAACATTAGCCCAGTGTGGTGTCACATACCTGTAATCCCAACTACTTGGGAAACTGAGACACAAGAATCGCTTGAATTCAAGAGGTAGAGGCTGCAGTGAGCCGACATTATGCGGCTACACTCCAGACTGGGTGACAGAGCAAGACTCTCTCTCAAAAGGAAAAAAGTTACTATTACATCAGAACAACTTTTTCTTGTTCTGCCCAGCTGACCACAGTCTGTGATCCATGAACCTATTCAATGGGTGAATAGCACTAACCCTAACAATCCTCAAAAGAGCAAAGCACTCTTATTCTAACAAATTAAAATAATGTTCTCTTCCTCAGAGTTGATACCTAACATTAAAATGGTGTTAGTTTTGGGTTTCGGGGTTTTTTTGGAGACAGGACTCTGTCATACAGGCTGGAGTGCAGTGGCGTGATCTCAGCTCACCAGAGCCTTGACCTCCAGGGCTCAAGAGATGCTCTAGCCTCAGCCCCTCAAGTAGCTGAAACTATTGATGCACACCACCATGCCCAACTCATTTTTGTATTTTTGGTAGAGACAGGGTTTTACCATGTTGCCCAGGCTGGTCTCGAACTCCTTGACTCAAGGGATCGGTCTGTCTTGGCCTCCCAAAGTGCTGGGATTACAGGCGTGAGCCACCGCACCTGGCTTGGTGTTAAGTTTTAAAGCTGATGAATAAGACAATAAAGTTTCTTCCATTTGTTCAACAAGCAATAATTTGTCACACTGTCCGCGCTAAGCTAGAGGCCAAGAATGCAAAAAAGAATGAGATGCCATCCTAACCTCGTGAAACTAAGAGTCGAACAGAAGGAGTCAAATAAGAATACAGCTGGTTACCATCCAATGTGATATATTTTAAGACAGATACAAGCACAGAACGCTATGGGAGTGCAGAAAAGGGGTACCGGACAGTCAGGGGATGGAACCATCAGATGATGCCTAAGCAGGAACTATGAAAGATAAGAGGAGAAGAAGCTGTATTGGTGCCCAAAAGGCACCTCCCCTTTGGTGATTCTCAATCAATAGTAATTTCCAGGCCAGGCGCAGAAATCTCAGCACTTTGGGAGGTTGAGGAGAGGTCACTTAGGTTGGGAGTTTGAGACCAGCCTGGCCAACATGGTGAAACCCCATCTCTATGAAAAATCCAGCAACGTGTACAAATGCTATTAGACAGGAAAGAGCAGAATAGTTTAGGGGAGCTGCAAGTAATTAGGAAAGACTCAAATGAAGCATAAGTGGGGGATATCAGCATGTGAAGATGTCAAATAGAGGAGGAAAGGCCAGAGCTTGAAGGATCTTGACTCCAAATATTTGGACTTGATCCTCAAAGCTATGAAAGCAGATTTGTTTCAAAAGATTACTCAAGGGTCAATGCAAACACTGGATTAGGGAAGTGGGAAGCACTGGAGGTGAAAAAAAAAATCAAATAACTCTTTTAAAAAACAAAACTCGGCCGGGCGCGGTGGCTCACGCCTGTAATCCTAGCACTTTGGGAGGCCAGGGTGGGTGGATCACCTGAGGTCAAGAGTTCAAGACCAGCCTGGCCATCATGGTGAAACCCCATCTTTTAAAAAAACAAAAAACAAAAAACAAAAAAACCCCTCACCTACTGTCAAGGCTTGAATCTGCAACAACCTGAAGGCTTTCCAAAGATGACCCATCATTTACATGCAGGAACAAGACTTCCTTCTGAGATCGGACAGAACGAACCCATCCCTAAGGAAGAGAAATATTTCTAAGCTGAGTGTAAAACATTTTACATTTTCATTACACATCACATACAAGACACATAGAAGACTAAATGAAAGAAAACCATGTACTCACAATCCTGCCTCAACAAATCAACTTCTTTTGTTTACCAATATGCATACTTAATTTTGTATGTTCCAATCACAGTGAGATACACATTTTGGTATTCTATCTTTTGTTTTCATAATAAAGCATAACATTTCAAATGGATGCCTAATATTCCTTCATGTTAAGGAGCCTAAGTCACATAACCAATCCTCCTAATATTGGCAATTCCAGGTCCTCCCAGCCCCCTGGCCTGACAATAAATAACAGGGCACATATCCTGGTACCTTTCTCAGGATATGGGACGCACCCTTATTTCTGGTTTCACTTCACCATGCTGCCCAGAAGGCACTTCGTCTTTGGTGACTCTCAATCAACAGTCATTTCCAGGCTGGGTACAGAAATCCCAGCACTTTGGGAGGCCGAGGAAAATGGATCACTTGAGATCAGGAGTTCAGGACCAGCCTGGCCAACATGGTGAGACCCCATCTCTACTAAAAATAAAGTATCTGGGCCTGTTAGCACTTGCTTGTAGTCCCAGTTACTTGGGAGGCTGAGGCAGGAGAATCGCTTGAACCTGGGAGGCAGAGCGAGCCAAGATCATCTCACTGCACTCCAGGCTCGGTGACAGAGCGAGACTCCACCTCAAAAAAAAAAAAAAAAAAAACAACTAATTTCCAAACTACCACTTTCTTACTTTTACTTTTTAGTAAAAGTTAACATGTATTGAGCACTTTGTAATGTGCACCTATTCTAAGCTCGTTATAAGTATTATGCTACTGGCCGGGCACGGTGGCTCAAGCCTGTAATCCCAGCACTTTGGGAGACCGAGGCAGGTGGATCACGAGGTCAAGAGATCAAGACCATCCTGGTCAACATGATGAAACCCCGTCTCTACTAAAAATACAAAAAATTAGCTGGGCATGGTGACGCATGCCTGTAATCCCAGCTACTCAGGAGGCTGAGGCAGGAGAATTGCCTGAACCCAGGAGGCGGAGGTTGCGGTGAGCCGAGATCGTGCCATTGCACTCCAGCCTGGGTAACAAGAGCAAAACTCCGTCTCAAAAAATAAATAAATAAATAAATAAATATTATGCTACTTAATCCTCAGAACTTAACAAAGTGGTTATCACTTATCACTTTAGAGCAGAAGAAAATTATTTAGAGATGTCAGGATAATCTCTCTAAATAGTCCAGGACACAGTGACCAATCAGTTGAGTTGGGATTCAAATGCAGTTCTGACTTCAAAGTTCATGTTCTTATCAATGAGCTTTTGTGGGATGCTATTATAATTCTGCCCCATCCCCAGTTCCTCTACCTAGGGAACATATCCTTCAGGACTTTGCTGAAATGTCAGCTAATGCAAGATATCTTCCTTAACCTTCTCAGGTAAGTAACTTACTGTTTTCTTACAGTTCTTTACTTATCTTACTACCAATTATCACATTGCTATAATTACTTGTTTTAAGATTGGAAGAGGGCTGTCCAACCAAAATATAATGTGAGTCATATGGGTAATTAAAAAAATTTTTAGTGGCCACATTAAACATAAAAACAGATGAAATATTTTACTTAACCTATTATACCCCAAATACTATTAAACCCCAAATACTATTAACATATAATCAATTGAAAACCATATTGAGATATTTTGCATTCTTTTTTGTTCTTCAAAATTGGTTATGTATTTTACACTTACAGCACATCTCAGCCAAACTTCAAGTGCTCAGAGCCACAAGTGGCTGGTAGCTACCATATCAGACCCCACAGGACTAAAATGAAATACTCTAACCTGGGCAGCAAGTTCTTCTTCCATCTTTTGAGTTTTCTCTTAACTAGCACACAAAGTATCATTAATGTATGCCCAATTAATAAACCAAGAGACCTATGGAAAGAATATGGAACTCAAAGAAATGCAGAGACGCAGACTCGTCATACTGCTAAAAAGCAAGGATACGTGAGGACAACAAAAATAACTTCAATAGCAAGCCATGACTGTGCTACTACACTCATGGGTGACAGAGCAAGAATCCACTCAAAAAATAATTAATTAATTAATTAACCATATCTGCTGGGCTCACGCCTGTAATCCAAGCACTTTAGGAGGCAAGAGCAGGACTGCTTGAGTCCAGGAGTCAGAGACCAGCCTGCCCAATATATCGAGACTCCATCTCCACACAAAACCTAAAAATTACAGCGTGGTGGTGCATGCCTGCAGTTCCAGCTACTCTGGAGGCCAAGTTAGGATTGCTTGAGCCTGAGAGATGGAGGTTGTAGTGAGCTGAGAACACGCCACTGCACTCCAGCCTGGGTGACAGTGCCAGACCCTCTCTCAAAAAACAAATAACCACGTCAGTGTACTTCAGCAACCTAGTAAGAAACAGTCAAACCACCTTGTTTATTCTTGCTTTTCTATGTGGAGCTGCTGCAAATAATTAGCTAAAGAAATAATGGCAGCTAACATTTGTAGACTATGAGCCACTGTTCTAAATATCTTATTTTCATTACCTCATTTAATTTTCAGGACTCAGGGACAATTATCTCTATTTTCATAAGACGAAAATAAGGTGTAGAGTGCATAAACGCTATGCAGAGATTTAAACCTAAGCAGCTTAACTCCAGAGCTCTTTCAAACTGCTACATTCCACTCTTTCTTCTAATTCATTAAAAATAAATTACATGCAGAGCCCCACTTTAGGCACTGAGGTAGCTAAAAGTTTAAAAGGCATAGTTTGGTTGAACAAGTATTTGCTGTCAGCCATGTGTGAATACAAAGGCAGGTAAGACACGGTTTCTGTTCTCAAGGAGCTAAGTCAGACAAGCACTTCATAACCCTGGATATTCATTATAAGGAATAAAGGTAGAAGAACGGGGGCTCGTTAGCTTACATTTTTTGGTATGATTAACAAGTTTACAAGTAACAAACTGGAATCATGAAAGCAAAGTTCCAGCGCTTTACAGTCATCGGAACAGTTTTGTGAAAATGGAAAGCAGAAAAGTGGAAATCCGCGACGCCTACCTCACTTTTCCCTGCTGGTGGTTCTGCCTGAGTCGACCGTGAAAGGAACGCTAGATGTGTTATGTATTATATTCAAGTCCCTACAAGAAAAAACCCATGCCCTTCCCATTCACCAACCTGGACCGTAACACGTTCCCCACTCATGTTCTGGGCCCCGAGAGTGTCCCGCACGCTCAGTTTGGCTGAAGGTTTGTGCCTGGGGCAGGGGACGGAGGAACAGAAGCGCACCGCCCGGAGCAAGCAGCGGGCCCCCAGCATCCTGCGGCCGCCCTGGCCCTCCGCGAGAGCAGCCCAGACGTCGCGGTTCGAACGCGCCTGCGAGGACCCTCCCTTCTCAGCGGCTCCCTTTCCGCGGCTGCAGCTGGGCTAGAGGACACTCCAGAACCCTCCAGCTGCACGCTTTCTCCTTCAGGACTCCCAGCTCTGTCCCCACAGAACCTTTCCGCCTCCCTCTTCCCAACCGGGCGGAACAGACGGAATACTTAGCAAACGTCAGAAAGAAACCAAGTGGAGTGGGCAACTGGAGCGCCCCGCTGCCCGCGACAATTCCAAACCTACGTACGGACCCCAGGCCGCAACCTGCGCGGCCCCTTGTACGTCACCACGCCAACACTGCCTACGTCATCACGCTACGGCGAATGCGGGAGAGCATGCGTAGTTGTGACCCAGGCTCGGGAAGGTGTGCGGGAGGGGGCGGGGTCAGGAGCGGAGACGGGGCGGAGCTAATGCCCTAAGGTTAAAGGGATTCTCGCTGAAAGAACCAGGGAGCACGTTGGGGTGGAGTCTGAGAGTCTTCGTTTCTAAAGTTTCCAGGTGAAGCTGAGAAACTGAAAGGCATAGAGTGACTGATGGAGACGGTTTCCCTCTCCGTCAGTCAACAACTAACAGGGATCCAACTAAGTGGAAGGCTCTTAGCTGTTGACAGGATTTTTGCTTAAAGAGGTCAGTCGTTCCAGAGTTCTCCGCAGAGAAAAATCAGACACAGCCCCTCTGCGCCAAGTCACAGTTGTGTGGTATCGGACAGCTAAACAGACAAATGCATAAAAGGGTCATCAGTTGCCTGACAGCGCCTAAGCGTAGGACTCCAGAGGCGGCTTCCTGGAGAAGGCAGTCCTCTGACAGGTACGTAAGAGGAGCTGGAGGGACCTTGATACGGCAGGCAGAGAAGGCAAGACGGTGGAAAGCTGTCACAGAGACTGGAGGAATGCCAAGTGTTACCGGCCAGAATCTTCCAAGTCTCTCTCTTCCCTCCAACACAGCTATATGCATTTGTTTGACCTGGAAACAATGATCTTTTTACATATTAGGCTACCTTTTAATTTACTTTAAAAAACTTTTTTTTCTGTAACTCAATGACTGTCATGAAAAAGTTTTTATCTAATTAAAAAAAAAATAAAATGTGGCTAGGAGCGGTGGCTCACACCTATAATCCCAGCACTTTGGGAAGCCGAGGTGAGTGGATAACGAGGTCATGAGTTCGAGACCAGCCGGGCCAATATGGTGAAAGCCGTCTCTACTAAACATAGAAAAATTAGCTGGGCGTGGTGGCACGCACCTGTGATCCCAGCTACTTGGGAGGCTAAGGCAGGAGAATCACTTAAAACTGGGAGGTGGAGGTTGCAGTGACCCAAGATTGCACTACTGCACTCAGGCCTCGGTGACAGAGAGAGACTCTGCCTCAGATAGATAGATAGATAGATAGATAGATAGATAGACAGACAGACAGACAGTTTGGCCAAGTAGAGTGGCTCACACATGTCATCCCAACTGTTAGGGAGGCAGAAGCAAGAGGGTTGCTTCAACCCAGGAGTTTGAGACCAGCGCTTGTGCTTGCTCACTTTCTCTATTTCTTTCTCACTTTTACCTTAAAGTTGCCACTATTATTATGCCCATTTTACAAATAAGAGAACTTAGACAAGAAAGGCTAGATGACCCACTTAAGGATAAGGGTGAGATTTAAACCCAGAAGGGCTGGCTGTATGCACTAAAGCATTATGCTATGTTATACAGTATCCCAAGGTGGAAATGAAATCATGATCCCTTCCATCAAGCAGCTCATGCTTTAGAGATGGAGACAAGCAAGAAAAGAGACTACTGAAATATAAATCAGTAACTGCACACATAGATGTATGAGTTGTTCTGCATTTGTTTGGCCTGAAAACAATCACCCTTATATATTTGGCTACCTCTTAAATTTCTCCAAAAAAATTATTTTGGATATTTTAACCAAATATGAAATTGGATAAAATATATTATAATAAGATTATACATTTATTACAATATATTTTATACAATAAAAATGTGCTCCCCGATTCTATATAATAAAAATCATAAAATTATAAATGATAAACGATAAAATTATAATATATTGCATAAAATATAATATTCGTCTAGAGGAGACAGTTAAGCTGAATTTTTGAGGAGGATCAATATTTTGCCAGGCAGGCATGTAGAAAATTTCCTGCCAGAAGGTGGACAGGAAAGGTTGCGCTAGAGGGCGGAAGTGAGGACTCCAGCAGCAGTGGACAAACATTTCTCTTTCCCCTCAGATTGCTCGCGCCATGGCGGCCCCTGCCCAGCAGCCTACTCAGCCTGGCAGCGGCAAGCACAAAACCAAGGCTCAGTATGTGTCGGCCAAGCGGGATCCGCGCTGCGACACCGGCGGGCCCCGTCAGCTAGAGCCCGGGCTACAGGGCAACATGAACGAGCACAAGTGCGGGGAGGAGGCCTACAGCCTGCTCAGAACGAATACGGCGACGGCACGTATGGGCCAGAAAAGCTTACAGACAAGGATCAGCAGCCCTCTGGAAGTGAGGGAGAAGATGATGATGTGGAGGCTGCCTTGAAGAAAGGAGCTGGTGATATGCAGGCATCTACAGAGATGAGGCTGAGAAGATTCCAGTCAGTGGAAAGTGGAGCAAATAACGTCGTCTTCATCAGGACACTTGGAATAGAACCTGAGAACCAGGTGCATCATATTCTCCGGGATATGTACAAAACCGAGTAGAAGAAGACTCGAGTTATTCTACGAATGGTACCCATCTCAGGCACATGCAAAGCTTGTATAGAAGATATGAAAAGATATGCAGAAACATTTTTGGAACCCTGGTTTACAGCTCCGAACAAAGGGACATTTCGGATTGTGTACAAATCTCGAAATAACGGTCACATGAATAGAGAAGAAGTTATCAGAGAATTGGGAGGAATAGTGGGCACCCTCAATTCAGAAAATAAAGTGAATCTCACCAATGCACAGTACACGGTGGCAGCAGAAATCATCAAAGCTGGCCGGGCGCGGTGGCTCACGCCTGTAATCCCAGCACTTTGGGAGGTCGAGGCGGGTGGATCACGAGGTCAAGAGATCAAGACCATCCTGGTCAACATGGTGAAACCCTGTCTCTACTAAAAATACAAAAAATTAGCTGGGCATGGTGGCGCGTGCCTGTAATCCCAGCTACTCAGGAGGCTGAGGCAGGAGAATTGCCTGAACCCAGGAGGCGGAGGTTGCGGTGAGCCGAGATCGCGCCATTGCACTCCAGCCTGGGTAACAAGAGCAAAACTCCGAAAAAAAAAATCATCAAAGCTGTCCGTTGCCTGAGTGTTGTGAAAGATTACATGTTGTTGAGAAAACACAATCTCGCTTTCCGGGCGTTCAAGACGTCGAAGCGAGGACGTGGTGGGTCCTCTGGTGCGGAATTCCGGATTTCCTTGGGTCTTCCCATAGGAGCTGTGATCAACTGTGCTGACAACACAGGAGCCAAAAACCTGTACATCATCTCTGTGAAGGCGATCAAGGGACGGCTGAACAGACTTCCTGCTGCTGGTGTCGGTGACATGGTGATGGCCACAGTCAAGAAAGGCAAACCAGAGCTCAGAAAAAAGGTACATCCAGCAGTGGTCATTCGGCAACGAAAGTCATACCGGAGAAAAGATGGCGTGTTTCTTTATTTTGAAGATAATGCAGGGGTCATAGTGAACAATAAAGGCAAGATGAAAGGTTCTGCCACACATCTTTGCTACAGGACCAGTAGCAAAGGAGTGTGCAGACCTGTGGCCCCGGATTGCATCCAATGCTGGCAGCATTGCATGATTCTCCAGTATATTTGTAAAAAATAAAACACTTAAACAAAAAAAAAAAAAAAAAAAAGAAAAGAAAAGAAAAGAAAATACAATCTCCAGGAGGTGGTGAAGAGCCCTAAGGGTCCAACACAGCTTAACTCAAAGCAGGGAAATGGGAAAGAAACTAAATTGGAATCTGCTAACAAATCAGATCAAAACAACATAGCAGAAGGAAAAAATAACCAGCAGGTACCAGAGAATACTGAGGAGCTGGGGCAGACAAAACCAACGTCTAATCCGCAGGTGGTGAACGAGGGAGGAGGCAAACCTGAACTTGCAAGTCAAGCCACAGAAGGATCCAAGTCAAATGAAAATGCCCTCTCATAGGAGGTCATTTGGTGTTGAGGTGGGTTTTCCAGCTGGGGTTCCACCTGAAATTGTGACTAAAAACAGTTTTTTATTTGTGTGCTGCATTACGCTGTTCTCACAGTCGTGAACAATGATTGCACAGCCCTGTTAACAGTTTTGTTAGGGATCTTTCAGCCCTTCTGGTATTATGTATAAGCAGACCCATGTGCTACTATTGCAAAGAGGGGAGGATGGGAGAAGCGGGATGTTGGCCTCTCCCAGGCTTCTCTTATGCAGCTCACTTATGGGAGTAAACTGTGAAGTGGAAAATCAGAGGAAGTTTTCATTCTAAGGAAGGAATTTTTACACGCCACAACTTAGTTGTCCCCCTGCCACTTTGTTGTAAACACTGCAATAATGTGGATCATGTAGGTTAGAAGTGAATTGTTTAGTGAAGTTTTTGGACTTTCATGATTTTCTTGTTTGGTTATGTCTGGTTTTTTTGTTTTGTTTTCTTAATTTTAATTTTGTTTGTTTGTTTTTTTTTTATAAAGACAGGGTTTCACCATGTTGGTCAGGCTGGTCTTGAACTCCCTACCTCAGGTGATCCGCCCGCCTTGGCCTCCAAAGTGCTTGGATTACAGGTGTGAGCCACCACACCCAGCCTAGGATATGTCTGCTTTTATATTTTATTAACATTGGTGTGTAACAAAGCTGACAGTTCAGTGCTGCAATTCTGGAAGGCAAGATGTGAGAAAGGAGAACCATTTTAGGCATAGAGCTACAGACACTTCTGAAAAGGTTGTTGATGAATTTCAGTCTTCTGAGTATACTTCAGTATACTAGTACAACAAGGGACACAAAGAAATTCTGTCTTCATAACGAAAGCTACTTCTCAAGGGTTTTATATGGACTCAGTCCAAGCTGTCCTGTCCCGTTGTGCATTGTCTGTGGCACGCAACTTAGAAAACTAGCAGTTGTAACTATAAATCATAGCCACTTGAGAAGAAAGGATGTTCATTATTTTCAAATGGCTTTTGGATTAACAGTAAGGCTTTTGTTCAGAAACCACATTTAGTCAAAACGTTTAGGAAGCAAATTATTTAGTAGCAGAACTTAATCTCAGGATAGGAAAATATGCATAGTTGGTGAGAATCTAATAATAACATTAAAATGCTGGGGCAAGATGCAGTACAAAATTGAAAAGACTTTATTCTCAGTAAGTT